GGTGACCGCGAAGGGGTGGCAAGTAGGTGTTTTGTTGTTGCTGTTTTTTTGGGGGGGGGGGCGGGGGGGAAATCCGATATATTCTTTTATGAGACCGACTCAAATAGTTGGAAGCATTCTTCTTTGCAAGCTTCCGGGTATGAGCACCCTTGGACAGGGCGAGCTAAGGAAGCGCCTGCAGTTGGCGCGCGCGCTCCCCGCGTCGCTAGCCGGCTTTGCGCACGGGGAGGCTGCCCCTGCTCCAGGCAGCCAGGCCGCGCAGTCCCGTCTCCAGGGGTTGTCCTTCCTGGGCCGCGGGCGGGGGAGGGGAAGGGGAAAGGGGCGGCCGAGCTCTCCCCGCCCAGCTCGCGCGGGTCCGCCTGTCCCTGAGGGCCCTTGAGGAGCCATGGCCGGGGTGCAGAGAGAGCTGCTCGGGCACTCGCCGCACGTGGGCGAAGCGGGGGCTGTGGAAAAGTTTGTGCTGAAGTCAGACAGGGTGAAAGTGGAGCTCCTCTCCTTAGGCTGCATAATCACTGCGCTGGAAACCAGAGACAGGGATGGCCAAGCCTCAGACATTGTCGTGGGCTTTGATCATTTAGAAGGTGGGTTTCAAGTTTAAACCATTATTTTTGGTTGTTTATTTCCCCCAAGACATACGTATTAACCTCACTTCTCGGGTCCTGTGTGGACTTGATTCTTTACTGTCTAACCCAGTGCTTCACCTTTTTTGGACCAGGACCCATTTGTAAACATGTGGTCAGTCCCCCTCACTGCGTGTGGGGGGCCCCAAGCAGCCCCCCCATAGGCTGGAGCTCTGCCAGCCCGCAAGGGAAAAGCCAGGGTTTCCCACATATTTCTTTTATTTTAAGGAGAATCCATTTTTAAAGTTTGTTTGTGACCCTTTCATATATTCTTGCCACCCACTTATGGGTCACAACCCACACGCTGAGAAATCCTTGTCTGATCCATTTCTAAGGTGCCTCTTGCTATGAGGCCTGATACCACTTTGCAGCATGGCAAACCCCACCCTGTCAAAAATCAAGGGACAAACTTAACAATTGAGATTTGGAAGTAAAAAATGAGATGCTCCGTTTTAACCCTGCTTCCCCTCAGCTGCTTGTGCATGCACGCTGAGCAGCACCCCCCACCTGTTGCAGGTCCAGGCTCAGTGCTGACCCGGCAGGGCTCCCTGAACCCCATCACAGCTGGGCCCTGCCCAGGCTCCGCTCCTGCCTGGGCTCCTAGGGACTTTGCAGCTGGTTCTGACCTGGTTGGGCAAGACACGCCAGAAGAAAAAGGCCTGAGATTTGAGAGTACTATCGTGAAATCATGAGTCGGACTTAATTTTACTCAGAAATCGCAGCTCTTGCAATAATTTCACGAGAGTTGGCATTACTGACTGCCTTGTCCTTTACTACCAAAGCACATGGGGACAAGAGACTGCCAGCTCACAGTGGTGTTGTTCCCTCCACTCTTCCCATACAAAGGATTGTCCAGGGCAAGGGAGAGTCAGACTCCTGCACAGAATGTGACTAGTTCAGAATGTGAGTTGCACACTTCCTTCGAGTTGGTGTAAATATAGGGCTAGGGTACAGCTGGGATCCAGAGAAACCTAAACAAATTGGAGGATTGGACCAAAAATCTCATGAAGCAGTGGCAACATGTAGGAGATGCATGGGGGTGCACGTGCATCCTCTGACAGCCAGTGCTCCCCAGTTAGGTGACAGGCAGAGGGGGTAGGTGGGAGCGCCAGTGCCCCCCGTGTGAACATTGGCTGGGGAGTGGGGGCACCAGGAGAAGCGCCGCTGCCACTCCTGGGTTAGTGTGATCCGCTGTGGGGGGACTGCCTCCCTCTCAGTTGGCAAGATCAGCTGTGGGGGATTCCCCCCCCAGTTACTGACTGGCTGCTGGGTGTCACATGCCCCCCTTACTCAGGAGGCACCAGTCACCCATGTCATGAAGTTCAGTAAGGACAAGTGCTAAGGACAGAATGATCCCATGCACCAGGACAGACTGGGGGCTGACTGACTAAGCATTAGCTCTGCAGAAAAGGACCTGGGGGTTACACTGGACAATAAATTGAATATGAATCAACAGTGTGCCTTTATTGCAAAGAAGGCTAATGGCATATTGGGCTGCATTAGTAAAAGCATTGCCAGCAGATCAAGGGGAAGTTACTGTTCCCCTCTATTCAGCACTGGTGAGGCCACATCTGGAGTACTGTGTCCAGTTTTGGGCCTCCCACTACAGAAAGGACATGGACAAAATGGAGAGAGTCCAGCAGAGGGCAATGAAAATGGTTAGGTGGCTGAGGGACATGACTTATGAGGAGAGGCTGAGGGAACTGGGCTTATTTAGTCCGGAGAAGAGAAGACTGAGGGGGATTTAATAGCAGCCTTCAACTACATGAAGGCTGGTTCCAAAGAGGATGGAGCTAGACTGTTCTCAGTGGTAGCAGATGACAAAACAAGGAGCAATGGTCTCAAGTTGCAGAAAAGGAAGTTTAGGTTAGATAATAGGAAAAACTTTCCCACTAGGAGAGTAGTAAGGCACTGGAACAGGTTACCCAGAGAAGTTGTAGAATCTCTGTCCTTAGAGATTTTTACGACCTGGGTGGGCAAAGCCTTTACTGGGATGGTATAGTTGGTCCTGTGTTGAGCAGGGGGGTGGACTAGATGACCTCCTGAGGTCCTTCCAACCCTAATTTTCTATGATACTATTGCTGTTGGGTTGGTGATATGGGAGCACCCCAGCCCTGAGCAGACTAGTGACATCTGAAGCTTGGTAGGAAAAATGGACCTTAGCTTGCTGAGAAGAATAGGTGACTATGTTAAAATATGGCTGCTCCAATAGACTAACCTGCTTGATCCTTGGATGGGCAATTAAATGGGCCTTGTACAGACTAAACACTGATGTGAGTGCCCAAAAGCAAGGCAGGCCTCCTTTGTCTGGCTGGGTTATTGTTATTTTAATCAAAGTTAGAGTCTGAAACTTTTGCACCCAGTGGAGCTTCCCGAAAGATGCCCCACTCAGAAGGATGCCTTGTAGAGCTGCATGGTAATGCCATGCCTGGACCAGCTGTGCTCACTGCCCCTTAAACCAGAACCAGCATAACTGCATTAGTGCAGCACTGTAGGTATCTTGTTATATGAAAAATGGTGAATGCCTGTGGGGGGTCACTAGGGTTAGAAGAGACTGAAGGAGGAAGCTGCTGTTGGCTGGTTATGCACTTGAAGCTGCAGTCAGCTTTCTCTTCTGTTTTGGAAATACCCAAAGTAAGGAAGTTAGCTCTTTGACAGGGAATTGTAAAATGAGGTCTTTGTACTGGGGCTGTGACAACGTAAGGGATATGATTGCATACTCCCTAGTCTCTTTCTGGTTCTCAGGTGGTAATTGCTGCCTCATTCCTTTTTCTTGGCTTTTTCTTCCCTCATTACAGCTCAGAGAGCTGGAGAGCTTGGGGAGAGTTATAGGCACTGGTGATCTATAACCCCTTGGCAATAGGGGTCTGGTCAGCTGTCTTTTATCTGGCCTTTCCTTTCCTTCTCCACTGAAAAGTAGCAGACGGAGGAAGTCATCCTCATCAAAGAGATGAATGCAGAGAGGGGAAGCACTCTCATCTCTTAGGAAGGAAGCAAATCTATGGAGGTGGGATTCTTATGTGACAGCACCCATCAGGTGGGCTCTTTTTGGACCCTTCCTGAAGCAGGATGGTGCAGGTGGGTGGGAGGGGAGTATGGCAAGCTATTACATCTGCTGCCCTCCTAAGACAACTGTATGTAGTGGAGGCCTGTGGGGCGGGGTGGTGATGTAGGGTCAGATAAGCATCTAAACCTTTCCTCTCATGGAGACACGATGTTTGTCCTCTGCAGGCAGAGGAGTAGGGCTTCCACATACTTGTTTCTGGCCTCAGGGCGGTCCTGATACCTGTGTAGATGCTGGAGAATCAGGAGTGGTTTGAGATTGGATCCTGTTCTGTAAACAGGACCAACCTTGCCCCCCGATGGATAAGGAAACCTAATATCTTGAGAGTTGTTTTTCCTCCTCTTCCCAGTGGCAAGAGGTCTAAGGGGGCAAACTTGTCCTGCATTGTTTACTCAGATTTTTAACAAGAATTACCAGAGGTGGCCAACCATTAGTCTGTGGCATCCTGATAGATGAGGGCTTTTAGAAATCTGGAAATTTCCTCACTGCCATATAGCCATTTAGCATTCACCAGATCTTTACTTGATTGGCACCTGCCACCAGAACCTAGGGCCCAAAATGTACTGAAGCAAATTTGAAGGTCAACACTTACAAGTGTTGAAGAGACTCTAAACTCCTGTTTCCAGCATTATGTAAAGGCAGTTGTCTCTGAATAGTTCAAGGACATAGGGCACAATCCATTTTACAGTGGAAGCTCACTATCTCTCAATCCATGAAGTCTAATTGGACAAGAAGCGGCATTCTACTTATGTAATGCTTTGGCACCTTTGTAGCAGCAGCAAAGTCCAGCTGAATAAAGCCTAATTCCCAGAGTTAGTAAAAAAATTAATTAGTTGTGTTGCCATGGCTCCTCGGCTCTATTGAGCTATTTTGGGCTCCTCAGGATCTTCACAGTCCAAGCCAGGAGCAGCAATGTGAGTGGTTAGCATGGGCCTGCAGGCTAAATCAGGCATGCAAGACCAAGATGCAAGGGGCTGGAGCGGTGCAGGGCCTGGCTGAGCTGGTATGTGGCCCGATCCAGGCACATGGAGCTGGGCCAGGACAGTGTGGGGCCCAGGCCAGGTATGCAGGGCCCATCCCCTTGCACTGACCTCATGAAGTATCCAGGCTGTGGACCAGCCCTGCACCACTTACCTGGCTTGTGGAGTCAAAAGGTTGAGCACCGCTGCTGTACCATATTACCATTCAAACTTACTAGAGTCTACAGCAGAGACTAGTGCTTTAACTTGCAGGGCTCAAGGCAGGTTCCTGCAGTGTTTTCCTTGTGTGTGCTTAGTTTGGTAGAAGTGGGTTTTGTTTTTTCAGCAAGTGCATGCATCTGTGGGCAAACCCTGGTTGAGGTGAAAATGTAGGGTCAGTGAATGATGGTCTTTCTGAGAGTTTCAGAACTTTTCTACGAATAAAGACTTTATTTTAGAAAAATGTTAACCTTCTCATAATTGTTTTCCTGAGCACATACAGGGACAAAAACAGAGGCAATATCCGCATGCGAGCCCCATCTCTGTACTACCTTCTTGTGTCTAACACCAAAAATTAGCTCAAGTGCCAGTGAGTTCTAGGATTTTGCTTTTGGTTCTGTGGAGCATGCCTTCTAGGAGCCATGCTTCTGTTCTGTGAGTGAGAGAAATTGTTGAAGAGACCTTCCCTTCCAAAATACCCTGAAAGGTAGGGGAAGGGGAGCTGGGCTGGGAGCCAAAGACCAGTGTGGAAGAAGTCAAACTTCGCGTTGTGGTTGAATCAGAACGCTTTTTTTTATTTAGGGCTATACTGTGATCACAGGGATATTTTCATACAGCAAGGGGAATCACCCACTTGTCTGTTTCAAAGGAATCCTCCTGCTCTATAAGTTTTCAAGCATATTTATACCTAAGACAGATAAAGAGAAAAAAAATATGACCTTGGAGAAACCAAAACAAGTTTACTTAATTGGACATCTGTGCACAGGGTAATAAGGCATGCAAGATTCCTTATCTCAGAACATGTAACCGAAATAAGGAGTATCAGCTCTTCTGGTCTTTGTCTGTTTTCCTAGTCAAGTAGGCCAGAAGCCCGACTAAATTTACTACTACACCAGGAATGAGTAGCATAACTAGAGATGGGTTACTGGGGTACCATCCCAGGATGCAAAAGCTGCTTGTTACACCTCTGCCATAAGCACAAATCTCTCTTGCCACCAGCAGCTTCTAATACTTCCCTGATGTTTAACAGCTCTTAATAGTAAAGCAAGTCCTTTTATATCCCTACCACAAAGAGAGGCAAACAGCATTGTGCCAGGCAGGTCTCCTGTGGCTGCCCCATATATGATCCCCTTGGCTACACTGCTGTGTATAAAAACAGCCTGCCCAAGCTGAATTATCCTAAGCACTTGTGAAGTTTCCATATACTGGGACTGTGTGAGGCAGGGGCAGCAAGCAGTGGCTAAAGCAATGGACTGGGACCCAGGAGAGCTGGCTCCCACCCTGGGCTCCAACTCGGACTTAATTTGGAGTCCTGAGAAAGCCACCTAGCCCAGTACTTCCTGTGTATGACCCTTGTTCTAAAGCAGTGGTTCTCACCTTTTTTTTTTGCAGACCACTTGAAAATTGCTGAGGGTCTCGGTGGACCACTTAAACTCCTTTAGTTCTGCAAATTAAAGCACACAACTCACATTTTAATATCAGTAGTCTTACCTTTCTAATGCAATGGATGTGCCTGTTTCTTTTGAGCAAAGTTCTGGGAAGCCTTAGGTCACCTTTCTGTGGATCACCTGAATGGAGCTCGTGGACCAGGGGTGGTCCACATACCACAGTTTGAGAACCTGTGTTCTAAAGTCTTTGTAGAGAGCATCCTGCTCTCAGGAAATTTAACAGGAAGGATGGTCTTGTGTTTATCTCACTGGGCTAGGACTTGTCATGGCTGTGTTGCGTGGGAAGTGTCCCTGGACTCTGTTTCCTGCCTTAATGACCCTTTTTCCTGCAAAGACAAATATTTTAAAGGGACTTAACCATTTTCTGGTTTTGCAAGGCATATGTTTTGGGACTGAAACACTCCTATTATTGAAGGCTGTGAGGAGAGCAGGGTTGTGCAAGAAGGCACTCATGGGCAGGCCCCTTCTGCTACAGAACCAGATGTCTCTGAGAAACCAAACCAGTAAATAAAGATTTTCAGACAGCTCCTGCATGTTGTTGCCCTCAGCTTCAAACAGGTTGCTCACCATAGCCAGGATGTTCCTTTCTGACATCTGCCACTCGCAGCCTTACCCTTTGAACTGCTTCTGCCATGTGCTCCCTCTCTCACTGCCCCCTCAGTACTCATGGTCAAGTATGGATTTTATTTTTTAACAGCAATTCATTATTTTTGCCAGGCTATGTCAACAAACACCCCTACTTTGGAGCAGTCATTGGGCGTGTTGCCAACAGAATTGCTAAAGGGAAATTTATCCTGGAGGGAAAGGAGTATCAATTAGCCATCAACAATAAGCCCAACAGCCTGCATGGAGGAACAAAGGGATTTGACAAGGTAAAGCTGATGGTGAACAAACTGTCCCCATTGTTTCAGCATACGGCACCCTGTTAAAGCAAGAGTTTTATTTCATTTTATTATGTGTTTTTATTATAAGAAGTTTTACCCCTGAATCACTGATGTTCATGGACCCAAACTCTGGGTTCCCTGAAATCTGATACTCCTACCAATCTGTCTGTCTGATCACAACAACATACTTTTCTCTGACAATGGATTACTCTGTTTTGTGCAGTTTTTAAAAGGCACCATTTGCATTGGGAGCTCTTGCTGCCAGTAAAATATTCCCCCAAGTAGGGTTATATGGCCTACCTGGCACTGGCTGGTAATTTTGTAACTAGGGCTGGACCTTGGAAAGTCACTTCTTTGTTGTACTGTGTCTTCCCCAACCTTTGGCTCGTCTTCATGGATGGAAGCTCTCCAGGGCTGGAGGCATCTCTATGTTTGTGAACTGTCCTGCACAACAGGACCCTGATTTGCATTACGCAGCCTGGTGGCTTGTGTCTGTACATAGGTCAACAATTCCACTCTTTTTCCTGCCCAACAGTTTCTCAGCCTTGGTGTAATCTCTGATTCCTCCCTTTCCTTCTTCCCCTGGATTAATGCCACTGCTAAATCCTGATGGATTGTCTTCCAAAATCCAACTACACTTAATCTATACTCCCAAGAGCCTATTGCAGACCCTGGTTCTGTCTTTGAGGACTAGCAGCCTCTCTTTCTCCTGGTTGCATGCCTCCTTTCTTCATTAAACTGCCTTGCACACTGCTGGCAAACACTAGCGCACCATTGGTATCATATAAATTATAACAGGTAGAAAGCAGAGTGAAGATACACTTTATAGATTAACTAACTGAATCAGAGATGCATAAGCTTTTGTGAGCAAGAACTCACTGTATTGGATGCCATGAAATGATATGCACATCCTTTCAAAACCTCAAGAAAGAAAGGACACAAAAACTTATGCATCTGTGATTTAGACAGTCTATAAGGTACATCTCTACCCTGCTGTCTGCCTGACTTCAAACTAACAAGGCTACCTACCTCTCTCTACAGATTATAACAGCAGCTATTCTCTAGTTTCTGATTTCCTCTGTTAGGAACCAGGCTGAAGATCATGCTGGTTTTACAATAGGTTCTGTTTTTGAGGGTGGTGGGGCGGTTTTAATACCATGAGGTGTGTTTGATTGAATGCATTTGTAAAAACAAGTATCTGATTCGTGGCTTTCTGTGAGGTTTCACAGAATATGCTGTAGGACAGGGGTCAGCAACGTTTTTGGTCACGGTGCCAAAAACACTTCAACCTAATTTATAAGATGTTGGCATGCCAGGGCAGACAGTGGAAGAGTCGTGAGGGGCCCGATCCTTGTTGTAGCAGCACAACTGTGCCCCCCACACTATATGCTCAGATGTATGTGTGCACCCATGACCAGCAACAAGCTGGGCCAGGACTCCTTAGACCTCTCTGCAGCTGTTTGCAGCCTCCCTGCACAGTTTTGCTTGTAGTGCTGGCTTTGATCTGATTGCCAAAACAACTGGTGTTTGAAAGGCAACCTGCAAGGGATTGTTTTGTACTTCTGTGATTCTCAAAGGTAGCTTGAAAGGTGTTTCAGAGAAGAGCTTGTTTTCCTTCAGAATATCTGGATTATAAAGTCTGAGCTTTCCTAGTTTTTGCTGGAGGATTTTCTCAAATATTTGTGACTTCTTATGCCATAAACTAAATCAGAGGTTCTCGAATTTTAACAAAGACACCCTTTCTCTAAAGCATTTATTAGGCATTGAAGTCAAATAGATATCAACAAAGTCAGATACACAAGTATAAATCATCTGCGTTTCTTCCTGAGTGCTTGCCTTCATTACAGTGTTGAGGGAAGAGGTGATCAGCTGTGTTAGTCTTGAAGTTAGGAAGAAGATAGGGCAGGGCAGCATCTTGGATACTAAATGGTTCAGAGAGGCATGAGCTTTCATAAGTAACAACATACTTCATGAAAAGTTTATTAGAATATTGTATCATGAGAACAGACACTTGGGAGTATTCAGGCTAAATAATTCAATGCTGACCAGAGTTGTGGGGTCAGTTTATACAAGAACAGGGTGTGTCAGCTGTTTGCTAACTTGTTGACACGATCTTGACCAAGATTTATTTTTATCTAGCCAACTGCAATGTTGCGGTCAGCGTGAAGCAATATAGCTCGTGTCTATAAGCATGCTTCTATTAGCTGTAACGATTTTTGGGGGTTTTTTAACTGCAGAAAATAGGGGACTGCACTGCAGATGCCAATGGTATAAATAGCTTTCATATATATTCTGTGAAACCGATGGAGCCTTTTACATTTGTAGACTTATTACTGGTTTTGTTTGCTGTACTATTGTTGAGGTTAGATGCATCAGTTGTGGAACCACTGAAGTCATCAGCGAAGACTGAGTTTTGAGCTCAGACTGATTATGCTCCAAAATTTGCAACTTTGTACTCTGAACCTATTTTTAAGAACCAGTGTAGCTGTCCTTATTTTTTTAAATGCTTTATTTTATCATTGTTGATGTTCCATAAAGATGTGAGCAAATCTTACTCAGTCTCTCTCTTTTGAGGGCCTAATGGATTTAGTCAGTCTTTCATTATCTCTCTTTGTTCCGTTTCCAAAGATAGCCACCATATGTTCAGTAATGTTTTCTATCATGAATGGGCCCCAGTCAATCTGGTTCTGACCTCTTGTCTTTCATCATGGAGGCCTCAGTTCTGCAAGCTGTTGACAGGAATGGAACAGAAACTGATTTTGGAGGGGAGGGTGGAGCATGGGTGGGGGCAAGGAAGAAGCCTTAATAGTGTTAATTTCAGGGAAATGTTGCCTTCAACTAGTTAAAGTAACCAATCACACACCAATATGCACTTACTTTTGGGCAGATCAGCAATAACAGAAAAACTTGGAGTATGAATATAATTTTTTCTGAGAGGTGGTTAGCCATGTTAGTCTAAAGTCGGTCAAAAGGCAGAGTAGGTATGCGCCTTTATAGACCAACTAAATAAGATGTATAGAGAGTGCACAAGCTTTCATGAGCTCAAGCTCATTTCATCATATGTTGTGAAACAATATAATTTGCTCTATCATTGTAGGCTTTTGCATTAGAATTCAAAAAACAATTCAAAATTTAAATGAAAGAGAACAGTCAACCTGAGACATCACCTTTGTTGTCATGCGATGCTGCCAAAGCAGCTCTTAGAGGTAAATTTGTTGAAGTGACTAGTTATATTAATAAGGAAACATTAAAATGACTGAAAGACTTTTATGTGATGCTCAAAAAGACAGAGGAATTCATATGTTGTCCCAGAAAAGGCCATTTTATTAGTACTAATCAAAACTAGGGGCAGATAGCTGAAATTGAAAAACAAAAGCCAGAAAAACAGATTTCGGCCTTTAAGAGAGACAGTTAAGAAAAAAGTAATAAGGCAGATAAAGCACTGGCTGGGCTTCAAAAAAAAACAAAGATGAAAGAAAAAAATAGGTGTGATTTATGTAGCACCTCAGTGCAACACAATATAGTTTCATAGTTTCTAGGGTCGGAAGGGACCTGAGCAGATCATCTAGTCCGACCCCCTGCCATGGCAGGAAGAGCACTGGGGTCAAATGACCCCAGGAAGGTGGTCATCCAACCTCCTCTTAAAAACCCCCAGGGTGGGAGCCTGCACCACCTCACTTGGAAGCTGGTTCCAGACTCTAGCCACCCTGACCGTGAAGTAGCGCCTCCTGATGTCCAACTTAAACCTTCCCTCTGCCAGCTTGTGACCATTGTTCCTGGTCACTCCTTGCGGCGCTCGGGAGAATAGGGACTCCCCCAGCGCCTGCTGATCCCCCCTAACCAGTTTATAACAGGCCACAAGATCCCCCCTCAGCCTTCTCTTTTGAAGGCTGAACAGGTTCAGGTCCCGCAACCTTTCCTCATAGGACCTACCCTGCTGTCCCTTGATCATACGAGTGGCC